ATCCCTGTTTCCTTTTGCTTTCCTCCTTTCTTGGGCTACTTCCAGTGTCTCAGCAGACAACCATTTTGCCTTCTTGGTTTTCTTTTTCTTTGGGACGTACTTTGTTGCCCCCTCCTGAACAATGTCTCGGACTTCTGTCCATAGTTCTTCTGGGACTCTGTTTACTAAATCTAGTCCTTCAAATCTGTTCTTCACTTCCACTGTATATTCGCTAGGAATGTTAGTGAGATCATATCTAACTGGTCTGTGTATTTTTCCTGATCTCTTTAGTTTTATTCTAAATTGGCAATAAGAAGTTCGTGATCTGAGCTACAGTCAGCCCCAGGTCTTGTTTTCACCGACTGGATGGATGTCCGCCACCTTTGGCTGCAAAGGATGTAGTCAATCTGATTTCGGTGTTGACCGTCTGGTGAGGTCCATGTGTAAAGCCGTCTTTTAGGTTGTTGGAAGAGAGTATTCGTTATACACAGCGGGTTTTCCTGGCAAAATTCTATCAGCCTGCGTCCCGCTTCATTTTGTTCTCCCAGACCATGCTTGCCTGTGATCCCAGTTGTCATTTGACTTCCCACCTTGGCATTCCAGTCTCCTGTAATGAAAATAATGTCTCTTTTTGGTGTATTATCCATTAGGTCCTGCAGATCCTCATAGAACTGATCTACTTCTGCTTCTTCAGCAGCTGTGGTTGGGGCGTATATTTGGATCACTGTAATGTTGAAAGGCTTTCCTTGCACTCGAATTGAGATCATTCTGTCATTTTTTGGGTTGTATCCAAGCACCGCTTTAGCGAATTTCTTATTAATTATGAAGGCTACTCCATTTCTTCGATGTTCCTCTTGTCCGCAGTAGTAGATCTGGTGGTCATCTGATGTGAAGTGGCCCGTTCCAGTCCACTTCAGTTCGCTGACCCCCAGAATGTCTATCTTTAGTCTTGACATCTCGCCAATAACAACATCCAATTTGCCCTGGCTCATAGATCTTACATTCCAGGTTCCTATGGTGTGTTGATCTTTAGAGCATCGGATTCGTCGTTCACCTCCAGTACCGTCGGCCGCTAGCCTTCCTTTCGGCTTTGAGCTAGCTGCGTCATCACATCTGGGGCTAGTTGAACTTATCCTCTGCTCCTCCCCCGTAGCATTTTGGCCATCTTCCGACCTGGGAGTCCCATCTTCCAATGGCATACCGACATATCTCTGGTTGTACTGGTCCATTTATTTTTCTTGGCAAGGATACTGGAGTGGTTTGCCATTGCCTTCCCCAGGGATCACGCTTGGTCTGACCTCTCTGCCACAACCGTCCCGTCTTGGGTGTCCCTTCACGGTTTCGCTCATGACATCATTGAGGTGCTCAAGCTCCAGCGCCCCGACAAGGCGGTGATCCTTTGCTGGAGGACTGCCTGTATAGAGACTATTAATCTTGAGATCGCTCTATGAGTCTTCTTATTTCATTGGAAGACAGACTGTTAGTGGAAGAGCTGTTTTCACGTGGGCCTCAAGTAAAGCAACGGGGCATTATTTTTAGGAAGGTGCTTGTAGACCCAGCGATTCGCCCTTTGGTCACATTTGCAGGCTTTAAAAAGCCCCAGTATTAGGGAAGAAAGCCCATCCGTTTTGGCTCCCCTGTCAGAGTTCCACTTTCAGACTCCAACCCTAATTTCCATCCCTGCCTTTGCTAATCCCCAGTCCTGCCCACAGACACTTCCCTTGTTTAGCCCCTCTATCAGAGTATACATGTTACCTCAACAATCATCTCACCCCTCCGTGCCAGAATCATATTGGTGTCCAGCAGAGAGATTTATTTTAAGACATCAGTACATGATTCTTTAAAGTGGTGCCAGCAGGTGGCATGTATTAGAAAATAATAATCCCCAGGATCTAGGATCTCAGGATAATAGATACTTCGTTATAAAGTGCAACAGAGTTCTTGCGACCCTGGAGAAGGATAGGTGTGGTAGTCTCTATGACAGAGCCCTTGGACTTAAGATCCTGCTCCAGATTCATCAGCAGCAAGACATCTATCATTCAGGATTTGATCCTGGATGAGAGGGCGGATCTGGCGTAAATCACTGAGATGTGGCTGGACAAGCTGGGTCCAGCAACCTCACCCAGCTGTGTCCTCCAGGTTTCGGGGTGCATCAGCAGGCTAGGTCTGGGGGGCGAGGAGGAGGGGTTGCGGTGATATTTCAGCAGTCCATTGCTCTGATCAGATGCACCGTTCCGCAATCTCTGTGGTTTGAGTGTGTCTACTTGAAGATGGGAGCTCGAGGCAGCCTGGGGATCCTGCTGGTGTACCATCCACCCCACGACCCAGCAACCTCCCTGCCTGAGCTAGCAGAGGTGGCCTCAAATTCGGCCTTGGCCTCCCAACAGCTTATAGTTTTGGGAGACTTTAACATCACCACTGATTTCCAAGACCACGTTACCAGGTACAGCTCAGGACTTCATGGTTGCCATGAAGACCATGGGGCTGACTCAAGTAATATCTGGTCCCACTCATCAGGTGGGACACACGCTGGACTTTCTTTTCATTGCGGATGACGGGACGGTCAGATTGGAAGAGCAAAATATTCTTCCATTGTCGTGGTCCGACCATCATCTCATCTGTTTAAGATTTGCCATGTCCTCTAACCTCCGCAGGGGTGGTGGACCTATTAAGTTGGTCCGCCCCAGGAGGCTTATGGATCCAGAAGGATTCCTGAGGCCTCTTGGGGATCTTTCTGTCCTGGAGACTGATGATCCTGTCGACACCCTGGTTGATCACTATAACAGCAACTTGGCCAGGGCAATTGACATGATCGCAATTGACATGATCGGTGTGGCAGAGCCACACCGACTCCTTGGTTTACCAAGGAGCTGGCTGTGATGAAGTGCTGGAGGTGGGGTCTAGAGTGCATCTGGAGGAAATCTCGCGACATATCTGACCAAGCACAGGCTAAAGCCACTATTAGGGCTTATTCCAAGGCTTTGCGAGCAGCCAATAAAGCATTCTCAACTGCTTGCATAGCGTCTGCAGCAAATAGACCTTCGGAGTTGTTCCGGGTTGTTGGGGAGCTCCTCTGGCCTCCTGAGGTTGGGGAGCTTCCTGTCGACTCGGCAACTCAGTTCAGCGATTTTGCGCACCATTTTGCAGGCAAAGTTGCTCAGATACGTCTTGAGCGGGACTCCAGTTTAAATGCAGTGCCAGATGAGGTAACTGAGGCACCTGTCTGTTCAATCTTATGGGATTCTTTTCATCTTGTTCTTCCAGATGACGTGGAGGGGGTCCTTGGGTCTGTGAGAGTTACCACTTGTGCCCTGGATCCTTGCCCTTCCTGGCTAGTTAAACTGGCCAGAGAGGGGTTGTTGGACTAGTTTGTTGCTATAATAAACCCTTCCTTGGGCCAGGGGAAATTCCCGTCTTACCTTAAGCAGGCGGTGGTAAAACCTCTACTAAAAAAGACCTCCCTTGACCCGACAATCTGCAACAATTACAGACCAATTTCCAACCTCCGTTTTCTGGGCAAGGTTCGCAGCTCCAGGAATTCCTCGATGTCACTGATTTTCTGGATTGTTTGCAATTATTATTATTATTATTATTATTATTATTATTATTAAACTTTATTTGTATCCCGCTAGCATCTCCCGAAGGATTCGATGCGGCTTACACAGGCCGAGGCCACAACACACAACATAGCAATACAAACTAGACAAATCAAACAATTAAAAACAGGATAAAGCAAATAAACAACAGGCAAAAGCAATACACTAAAACACAATAGGAACTGGGCCAGGCCAGAGTAATGGGTACAAGAATTAAAAGTGCTGATGTGACAGGAGGTATATATGAGGCTTCAAGGGCAAGTGTGATGTGCAGCAGTCATTGGTTTTGATAAGGTGCTTATGGGACTTGGTAGTGGAGATTTCCTAATCTGGGAAGGCGCATCGGAAAAGCCAAGTCTTCAAGTTCTTTCTGAAGACTGCCAGTGTGGGGGCCTGTCTAAGGTCTTTGGGGAGGGTGTTCCAGAGTCTGGGGGCCACCATGGAAAAGGCCCTGTCCCGTGTCCCCACCAAGCGCGCTTGCGACGCAGGTGGGATCACGAGCAGGGCCTCTCCAGATGACCGAAGTGAGCGTGCAATCTGGCTTCAGGCCTGGGCAAAATACCGAGACACCTTTGGTTACCTTGGTGGATGACCTCCACAGGGAACTGGACAGGGGGAGTGTGACCCTGTTGGTTCTCTTGGACATCTCAGTGGCTTTCGATACCATCAACCATGGTATCCTTCTGGGAAGACTCTCTGGGATGGGACTTGGGGGCACAGTTTTTACTGTGGCTCCAGTCCTTCTTGGAGGGTTGCTCCCAGTCGGTGAAGCTGGGGGACACCTGCTCGGACCCCTGGCCATTGACCTGTGGGGTGCCGCAAGGATTTATTTTGTCCCCCATGCTATTTAACGACTACATGAAATTGGAATAATATAGAACAGATATCACCACTGATTGCATTAATTGTGTATGTTTATTTGCAGCTTTAGCTAATGGCCACTGTTATCCACCATAGCGAGAGTTCACGAATTCCTTGAGTCACCTCTACTCATACTATTCCTAATTGTACACGAATTAACAAAAAATACTGTAATTTTTATGGACAAGATGGAAACACAGAAAACTTTTAAAATCTACATTTGCATGCAAAATCTTGCTCCAATAGACTAGTGTGACCAAGAAATGGTGATCAATTTCCAGTAAACTCCTGTGAGTGTTAATTTGGAAATAAGTCCCATTGTATTCAATGTAGCTTATCTTAGGAAACATGTGCACTCTTCATGATTTCTGTTTACATGAAACATTGCTGCTAAAAGTAGCCAATGAGGCTTCTGAGTGGTAGCATTTTGTGGATTTGTTGGCCAAGTTTAGCAGACTTCCGGTAGCAAAAAATATAGTTAAGTAATCTAGCTATTTAGTCACCACATGACTAAAGAGAGAAAAGAGAGATTTAACTTTTTTAAAAGGCAAAAGTAAAGTTTACCTTATATCCTGAAGACTTTATGTGTACACCTCGCTTAGTCAGGGTGGATTTCATCCGCATGAAAAACGAACGATCTAGATCGTTGTCAGCTGCAAGTAGACTGGGACTTGTGGATTCCACTAGAATAGAAACAACAAAATAATTCATAGATCATTTAATGTTTACAAGGGCCATTTCGATTGTTTCATAGACACAACTACTAAGCTACCTTAAGGCAATACTAGATATAAAGTGGAAGTTCATGACCACAGAACCCCACCCCAACATTTTTCTTAAAGTTCATAGCAACTGTTAAATTATACCTGGAACAAAAAAATGGGAAAGGAAGAGTTATCCCCCTTTTAGAAACTGCTTTCTGAAGGCAATTGCCTGCCACAGGGGGATATATACACGGACCTAAATGAACTGAAAAAGGAAGAAACAATTATTCTATGCTCATTCCACTGGTTCCATCTCAGCTTGTGTCTGCTATTGTGACTGCTAATAACATTTTAAAAACAAAATTATGAAATTGTCCCCTAAAATTCAATAACTCATACTTGATTATGAAACATAAAAAAATAAAACAAAATATAGGTTATTGGTTAAGATATATTTATATTAAAAATCAAAATCAAAAACAAAAAAGTGGCCTTCAGTATCTGCTGGGGTTTGGTTCCAGGACCCCAGTGGATGCCAAAACCCATGAATGCTCAAATCCCATGATATACAAGGGTGTAATAAAACAATGTCCCTTATATAACATGGCACAGTCAAAGTTTGCGCTCTCCCCCCCCCCCTCTCATATTTCAAGATGTGGATAGTTGAATTTGTGGCTATGAAGGGCTCATCCAACTGCAAGCCTCTGCTGTGGGGAATCAATGGAGTCCATTTAGACGTGAAGTGAATGAAGCAGGCAGACAAGACAAATTGAGTTTCAAGATTTTACTGGCTTTACAATTAAGGCTGAGGTGGCAGCCCAACTCATGTTGGTCCAAAACTGTGACCCTTAAACATGGCACATACTATCATATTTATACCTTTTGGCAAACAGTCATGCGCAGATCAAATGATGATTCCATCTATTTTTTTAGCATGTCAGCATTATCTATATATGGTGTTGACCACTACTTAAGACATGTCCATGTCTTATAACTTCTCCAGACAGCTTCAGACAGCAAACATCAGCAGGTCAATGGGTCACCCAAAGTGCAGGCAGGCCATCTAGAGTGCAGGTTAAGTACTTGGAAAACGGCACCCTTTAAGTGACTCAAAGTCCAGTGGCAGAGATTAACCTAATAAGTGATCTGTTACTCAAGCAATTTAAAGCATTTAAAAATTCTTTCTTAATAATCACCTCTTACACTGCAAGTAGATTAAGGTTCAATCCTTAAATAACAAAAAATAAACCAGAAATCCTCCAAGCAAGGAGATGCAGTTGGTGAGGAGAAAAGGAAATAAATGCATGGAGGGGCTGGCGGGGTATGTCTCTTCCTCCTTCACTCCTAAGCTTTTCCTCCTCTACACCATTTTCTCCTTCATCCATCCACATGACTGATTGCCTCTGCTGGCTGCTTTTCCCTTCCCTTAGCAGCTTGGGCATGGCTTTTGCTTTTTAAATTTTCCTCCTTTGACAGCACCAGCCACTCCTACTCTGGGGCAGGAGGAGGGGGGAAAGGAAGTATTTTGCGACCCCAACATTGTACTAAGGAGTTCCCATTTTGGCTTGGATCTGAAAGTATAAAAAGGTTTCTCCTAGATAATGGGTGACATCAAAGCTGCTCATGTTCTTGCTACTGAGATAATGGAGAGCGATTGCTACTTTTAGCCTTTATCTCTTAAGTCAGCATTAAAATTATCATTATGGCGGTAGAAAAAAACGAACTAAATAATTAGTAACATTCACATCCATTTGTTTACTCATAAGAGAGGGGGAACAGTATATACACACAGCATACAATCAAGAAAGAGCAAAGGGGATCTCAAACTGGTGCTAGAAAAAGTAATATTTGAAACTTGCCCAACAGGCCTTGATGGGTAAAATGTGGTCAAAACACTTTGGCGGTATAATAATAATAATAATAATAATAATAATAATAATGATAATAATAATGCCACTATCTAGCACCAATTTGCAGTCTGCTTCTCTCTGTGCTCTTTCAATGAAATATGAGCTGGAAATAGTTTGGAAGCAAGAGAGAGATAATGACAGCACTCATTAACCCACCTGAAAATGAGTAGAAAGACTACATACTTGAGTGCTTTTATTTTCATATCAAATGCAACCACACTTTTGTTGCCTGAAATAATTAACTGCGGAACGGGCCTCCAAGAACATATTGGCAATAAGGCAGATTTTTCTTTAAGGAGTTTAAATGTACAAAAAATGCTTTACTAACGTCTTTGAAAGAGGACTGCTCGTTATCAGCCAAGAGTGTTCCTGTTGTTAAAAGTGCCCATGATACTGATGGTAACTTGAATAAACCTCATCCTGATGTAGATACATTTACTTTATATTTATGGTATTTCAACCCTGTTGTGATTATTAATCCACTAACAAGAATCCTCCTTTCTTTAGTATCAATGTTAAGAATGTGGGTTTTTTTGTTTTGTTTTAGAGAGCATGAATTCCATGTCATTTTAAATGTACAGCTCTTTATCACTCGAGGGAAAAGCACAGCCATGTTATATTTAGTACTTTCATTTCTTCTGATTAAATATGAATTACTATGAAATTTTTCTCATCATCTAACACGCCATAATACGCCAACAGCTTTTTAATACACTATATAAGCACAAACTTCTGCTCTAAGAGTTTAATTTGCCCCTCTAATCCAATCACATCAACCTTATTTCTCTTATCAGAGATTCCCATTTTGAATTAAATGAGCTCATTAGTTTTAATCAAAAGCAGAGAGATCAAAACTTAAACGTAAATGCTTTAGATCAGAACTGTCAGTCAGCCGTGCAGTTCTATTTTACTAAAACACAAGATCAGAGACCCTTAGAACCAATTTTTTCTCGTAAGGGATGCCGAGAGCTCCAAGATGCTATATCCCCCCTCTTTTTTCTTCCCAAGGACAGATTATACATTTAAGGTTAGACTTAATTTAGTGCATTTTTCCTCCATCCTAGTGGAAATGGAAAAGTATGCCAATCTGCTGTTTGTCTCTTTCACATTTATTGGTGCTAGTCCTTGGAGACCTGAACAAACGTGAAGCCATCAGAAACCATGCCACAAACCTGGCCTCAGCATTTCAGTTCCAGTCAGCAATATCATGTTTGCAACATCTAAGAAATGAAACTTTCAAAGCAAGGAAATGTATGATCAGGATCAAGGTTACTGGAACCCTGAAACTACAAGAAGGGTCATAAGCAGTACTGGCAGCAAGAGGCTCACCATTAATTATTGCTATTATTAAACAGCACTCCCTAGTATGGTGCTTAAAGTGTACATTAAGAAACCACAGCATGTGTCCTTTCTGCCGACTGAATAAATATTAGAATCAGCTTAACTCACACAACAGTAATGGTCCAGCACATTATGGCCTAACCTAGGCAGGAAGTAAAATATGTAGCAGTATGATCTTAATGGTAATTAACTAAACACACAAAAGTCACATTAACAACATAAGAAGAGCTCTGTTGGATCAGTCCAAAGTTCTACCTAGTCCAGCACCTTCTTTTTAACAGAGTCTAGTCAAATACAACCAGGAAGGCTATAAGTATGACATGAACAACATTGCATTTTCCCCAGCAGCTAGGATTCAGAGATGCAGTGTTTTTAAACATGGAGGTTCGATTTTGGTATCCTGGTTGAAAAGGCATTAATCCCTCGTAAATTAAACACAGACTTGTTTTTAACTATATATTTAAAATTGTAGATTGACTTTCAATAAGGTCAGATATGTTACCAAATAATTCCAAAAGGATTTTCACAACACCACAGGCTCACTGTATCTATGACCGTTTACAGTGTATGCTCTTAGGTGAGAGAATCCACACTACCCACAAAGTTCTTGCAACCATAGACAAGGAGCTGTGATTCCTCCATATCAACACCAGCCAAAAGATGAATGCCCAAGATTGGGATAAAATAGGCAACTTCACTTACAGAAAAATGGAGAAAGGCATGCATTGCTTACCACACTAAAAGTCAGAAACAAAAATTCTACAAATGCTAAAAACTTCAGGTAAAACCCGAACTGGATACATCGTGGACCATTATCAGTCTGAGTGAGAGGCAACTTTCTGATTATAAAGTATCCATCTTAACAAAGCCGGCGGCAGTGGGGGGGGGGGGGGGGGGGGGGGGGGGGGTTGTGGTTACCACCACCAGAATCCCAATATCATTGCTAATGTTGAATCAGTGTTTATCATCTCGGGGAAGAAGTGGAGGAAGTAAGCAGGGAAACAGCAAGGATTCTGAGAAAGGCAAAATTTCCCCCCATTACAAGAAAAGAAAGAAAAGCTATCAAAGACCTCAACTCTGATTCAGAAATCATCATTCTCCCAGCAGACAAGGATAATGCCACAGTAATCATGAAAACAGAACAATACCAAAATAAAAAATAAAAAAAATTCCACAACATACAAAAAACTAAAGCAGGACCCAACCAACAAAGTCACAAGAAAAATCAACACTCTGATTAAGAAATCCTCAATTAATCCTAACATACACAAAAAAACGAATCAAATCTGCAGCTCTCCCTCCAGGTTTTATGGACTCCCCAAAATCCACAAGGACTCCATTCTGCTCAGACTCATTATGAGTGCCATCGGATCCCCTACATATGATTTGGCAAAATTTCTGGCTGCACAATTACAAACCTATATTGGACTTACTACATATACATTAAGGACTCAGCTCACTTCACTGAGAAAATCAGCAAACTTAAACTTAACCTCAGTGACAGCTTTGATATTGTTTCCCTATTCACCAAGGTCCCCATGGCACCCATTAACCAGAATTTACCCAGAAGACATAATATAGACTTGTTTCAATATTGCCTCATTACATGCTACTTCCAGTAGGACAATAAATTCTAAGAACAGAAAGAGGGGGTAGCCATGGGGAAATATTTTATATGGAACACTTTGAGAAACAAACCTTGGAAACAGCAACAAAAAAGCCCACTAT